AAAAAAAAAAAAAAAAAAAATGACCATGAGTACTTTACAGGCAGTGGGGCCAGCTGAGAAAAAGTGAAAGCCCCTCCGCTGATGCCACTGCCTCCTCCAGCCTCCGGTGTGGGGGCTGCCCCTGCCTCACCTCCACAGAGGCTCTTTTTAACAGTGTCCACACTCTTTTTAAGTCCTCAGATTGTGGTCTGGCCAGGTTTTTTTAAATTTGCCCAAACGTCCAGGATTTCCCTTTGCTCTGGGGGTGGGAGCAAGGGCTGCAGCTGCAGCAGTGCAGGGGGAGGGGAGGGTTGCCTCTTCTCCAGTGGGGAAAGGAGCAGGTGGCAGTGCAGGTGCCAGTGCCTGTACTCAAAGGGGCTGAGCAGCCACCACCTGTGGGGGATGGAAGGAGGGGAAGGGGGCCATGGCCAGGCTGCCTGCAGGGCACTGCAGGCCTATCCCAGGGCAGGGGAGCCACAAGCCTCCCCTCCTCTTCCCTCAGCCTGTGCTGGGGCCCAACACGCTCTGCCACCACCGTCTGCATGAACTGGAGCCACTGAGCTCTGGCCCAGGCAGGATGGAGACAGCTGGGGCCCTCCAACAGGGCAGGGGGATGCAGGTTGGGAGTGAGAGGCACCAGGGTGGGGGACTATAGGTTGGGACTGAGGGGCACCAGCAGGGATTGGGGGGTGGGGGAGCTGTGAGTTGGGAATGAGGGGCATCATCGGGGCCCATGGGGCCCAAGGTAGTGCAGTTTGGTGAGTGAGGGGCACTGGCAGGGCTGTGGGGGCTGTAGCTTGCCAGTGACAGGCAACAGAATGGGCAGGGGCAGGGCCACCTTTCGGTGCCAGCCATGTTAACGCTTCTTTGAAATCCGTCATTCATGATGGGCAATTGGCTAGTAATAATACGTATGTTCTTGTAGCGGACAACCAAAGCAAAGCTTGAGACCAACTCTAGGTTACCCAATTAGGGAAGAATTCTGTTTCACCTTGTTTCAACCAGGGTGTTTCAAATCCTCTCAAGGGTGCTGTGGAGTGCCAGCCATGCAATGTTTGTGTTTCTAACAGTGCTAACAGTATTTACAAGATAAACCCAGAGATTTCAAATAGGAATCCTTAATTTAAAATATTCTGACCTATTTTGGTCCTTCTGAGTTCTTCACAACAGAAAAATTGCTCTATTTTAATGTGGTCAAAAGACAAGTAAAAACTAAGAGCTGGTATTTTTGGTGGGGTGCCTTGAGTCTAAGGAGGGATACTTTGCATCTAGCAGGGCACAGAACCACTGACCTAGCCTATGACCAAAACATAACTTGTGACCAACTCTTGAGTTACCCAACTGAAGTGTAGGGATGATTGTACTACAGTGGAGCCCAGGAGGGGCTCAAAGTCCAGGAGGGATCATAGCCAGAGACTGCCAGAGCCAGCGAACCTGGTGATTTCAATTGGCCCAAGAGCAGGGCCAGGGCCCACAGGGGGCCACTGTTAGGACCTGCAGTCAGGGAGGCTGGAGCGTAGAAGCCAGGTCCAGTACTGTGGGCCTGAGGTAGAAAGGCCAGTGAAAGCAAGAGAGGAGGAGGCCAATAAGGCCAAGACCCCTACAATAGTGTGACAGTACAGTAACACCCACGAAGCATGGGGCATGGTGTAGGGAAAAACGGAGCCATGCAAGGAGCCCTGAGGGCTACAGGTGCCCTGGAGGGACACAGGTATGCAATTGGTCCTTAAAGCTACAGGTGCCCTGCGGGGACAGAGATAGGCCAAGAGGGCCCAACAAACTTAAGAGTTGAATCAAGACTACTGGGGTATGGGAGAGACCCAGTCGTAATTAAAATGGTCCACGTCTCACTCTAAGGCCTGTGGGCAGCCTCCCTTATTCAGTCTTCATTAAGAACAAGTCATAGGGAGTGAGCAATCAGGGAGGGCTATATTAGAGGCAGAGCTGGGCAGGAGCCACACAGCCACCAGGGGGCATCACAGCTAGGGGTGCACAGATAAAGATTTTTTGGGCCGATACCAATGCCCGATTATGAATGAGCCATATTGGACAATACTGATCCAATTGTCAATATGTAGCCTGGCAGCTTGGAGAACAGTGCCCAGTGGGTAAGTCTATTGATTGGGAAGGGGTGGAGGGAGGGAAGAGGCGTGCGGAGGGGCAGATCGAGGCTCTTGTGGTGAGGGAGAGAGTGGAGCTGGGGGAGGCGCAGGGGCGTGTGCCCCCCTGGATCTGTGCACGAGGTGAGGGCAGGCTGCCGCTGCAGACTGGGGCCGAGGAAGTTACCAGGTTCTTCCCTGGGCTGTGCTCCAGGCAGGCGGTGGCACTGGGAGGGGGCGTACAGGGTCCCCGCAGCCTCTCATGGCTACCCCATAGCCCCTACTCCCAGCACCTCCACCATCTACCCCAAGCACAACCCCAGCTCAACCCCACTGAGATGAGCCTGCTTCCAGCCCTACGCACAGCTCCAGGGGGCACATACCCCCTCCATGCCTCCTCTGGGGGTGTACGCAACAGCAGGAGCCACCCTCCACTGTGCCCCTCCTAGATGAGCCACTCACAAGTCCATCCCACATCTTGGCTTGCCTGGGCAGTGCCTGTTCCAGCTCCACTCCCCCCCTCACCGCAGGGGCCTTAATCTGCTTCCCACGCTTCTTCCCCTCCCTCCACCCCTTCCCTACAACAGACTTACCAGATGGACACTGCTGTCCAAGCTGCCGGGTTGGCTGCATGCATGCTGTGGCTGCACACAGCATTTATCGGTGACATTATTGGCCACATCAGCCAAAAAAAGCCAATTGTCAATAATGTCACTTTTCCTTTTATCGGTGTCAATACCATATGAACCAATGTATCAGTGCACCTCTAATCACGGCCATCACTAGGGGCTCAGTCCTGTCACAGGTAGACCTCTCCTTATTCCTACACTATATTTGGATAAAACTCAGAGGTGGTTACAAGTTGCACTTTGATCATCAACTGAGTGAAACAGAATTCTCTCCATGGCCTTCTCTCTTTATCTCCATATAAACATTGTTTGAAATCATTCAAATGATCTTTTACCATCTTCCTTTTCTTATGAGGTTTCCAAATGGGTTAGGAACAGCCACTACAACCATGGCTTTTTGATCACTGCAACTCGCCTATCTGAAAAGAAAATGGAATACAACTTCGTGAAGTTTGCCAGAAGCCAGCACAATGTGCAAGACAGCAGGAATGCTCTTCTAGTCCTCTTCACTAATAATGACGGACCAAGGTCTTCCAGCTTTTCACCCTTTTCCTCAGGTGGGTCAAGACCAAAGTAATTTCCACTCTCTAGCTTGTGATTCCCTTGAAGTTAATTTTCTCTCACTTTCTAATGCATTTCCTGTACATAATGTAATTACTTGCATGCAATTCCAGACACTGATTCTGTCTGCCATTATCAAGAATTTGTTTTGATAAAGTAATTTTATTATTTCTCTTCTATAGCAGGCCACTATACATCTCAGGCTATGTCTACGTGGGAATAAACTGCATGTGCATCCATTTTTTGCTTCTTTAGGACACACAAAGATTTTGGGGTCTTTTGCTTATTGTAAAGGGGGATGGGTGGTTCGTTCTTCTTTTTTATTGCTATTTGAATTTCAGAACCAGTGGGCATGTCTACACGTGGAATTAATTTGAAATAGGTTTACTGCACAGTAAAAATACTGTGCAGTAAGCCTACTGGGAAACACGTCTACATGCGCTTCCTCTTGGGAGCAGATTTGCTCCTGCCCTGCTCTGCCCCCCTGAAGCAGCCCAGGGGGAGCTCCAGGCTCCCCCTGTGTGCTAGCCAGGGGCTGGCAGGGAGTACAGGGCCAGGATACAGCTGTCTCCTGGCCCCATAGATGTCAGCAGGGGTCCAGATGTGCACTGGGTGGGAGAGCTGTTGCTGCAGAGTTCTCCCACCCCATGCACATGAGGACAAGTTCTGTGCCCAGTAGGGCTTCTTAACAGCTAGCCAGAAACCTGTCCCTGTCTGGGGTAAGTCCTAGCCAGCTCTGAGCTGTACCCCTCCTCCATAGCTGCTTTCCAGCCCCTTGCCCTGATCATGCAATCAGGGCTGGGAAGAGTCCCCTCCCCAACAGCTCTTTCTGAGCCCCATGGCCCGACCCTCCAGTGGGGTAGCTAGCAGTGAGCCCCCAACTGGGTGGGGAATCCCTGCCCAGCTGGGGGCTCACTGCTAGCTACCCCACTGGAAGTTCGGGGTTGGGGGCTTGGACCTGCTCCTCCCTGACAGCTTTTTCCAAGTCCCATGCCTCAATTGCCCAATTGGAGCATGGGGTTGGGAAAGAACTGTGAGGCTGGGACCTGGCCCAGACCAGGACAGTTCCTGGTCAGCTCCAGGCTGCACTTGCAGACTTCCCTGTGGAGCCCTGGGCTGGCCAGGAACTGTCCCAGTCTGGGGCAGGTCCCAACCAGCTCCAGGCTGGACAGGGAACTCTCCCCATACAGGTTGCTCCCAGCTCCATGATTGGAACAGGGACTGGGAGATTGCTCCCTGCCCCCTGGAGCTGCCTGTGGCTGGGGCAGGCTCTGAGCTCAGAGCCCAGCCAAAACAACATCCCCCCACCCCAGCGAGCTCCCAGCCCCATCCCCACGATCAGAGCAGGGGCTGGGAGATTGTTCTGGCCAGGCTCTGAGCTTGGAGCCCACCCCAGCAGTTCCTGGGGACAGGGATCAATCTCCTACCCTCTAGACTTGGCCCAGTATTGCACAAGACTGTGGAGTCTCCAACACACTTCCTTTATTTCTGTCATTTGGGACCTTTTGTGCAACAAAGGAGACTACAGGATTTTATACCGAGTAACTTGCAGCTTAGGGGATAAATAAGTATTTAAGATTTCCACAATATGTAATTTGCTAAGTATCATTTTAATAAGCCACTCAAAACATTTTGTTAAATCTATGGGACCAATGCTTTTTCAAGTAGTTAAAACAGTGTTTACAGGAAAACATTGTATCCTTCATAAGAAGGGTTAGCTTACTTCTGGAATGTTATTTTGTTTGCAGAACTGCAGCCATCCTCGTCTGTAGGTGGTGCTCATACCCAGACACCTCTCCAAAGTGAAATCTTGGAAAATCTCAGAACAAGTAGGAGCAGAAGGACACGGGATACATCATCCCTCTCCTCCAAAGGTCAAGTTTTGTCATGCCGTCGAAGAGAACTCTATGTTGACTTCCAGGCAATTGGCTGGTCAGGATGGATCATTTACCCAAGTGGATACAATGCTTTTTATTGCATAGGTACCTGCCTATTCCCCTTAGGGGAGAGTCTAAATGCTACCAATCATGCTACTGTCCAGTCCATTGTGCATACACTTAAATTGTCCCAAGATGTCAGCATGCCATGCTGTGTCCCAACTGAGCTGAAGTCCATCAATCTCCTGTACTTTGATGACAAGGAGAATGTTGTCCTGAAACGTTATAAAGATATGGTGGCTGCAAGCTGTGGTTGTCACTAAGAAGAGCCTTTACTTTTGCATGGAATTGATTTGTGTGTGGACTCAGTTCAACATTAACAGGCAAGGGTGTAGCCAGGCAGCCTACAGCTACTCTTGCTCCCACCCCCAGGGTTTCAGCAAAGAAGTAAGTGCTCTTCAGACTGACTGACTTTCAAAGTGTCTTGGGCAGGGCCATCACTACCAGGGGGACAAATCGGGGTGACCACCCCGGGCCCCACGCTTTGGGGGGCCCCATGGAGCTGGGTGGAGCAGCCGCAGTGACTGCTTTGCTGGCTTCATGTCCAGCCTCTTCCTTGTAACCCCTTCCTTCCCCCACTCTGCCAACGGTGCCACTGCTGATGGCAGCGGCAGCTTCTTTGGGTCTGGGGCATGTGGGATCAGAGCAGGGCAAGGGCAGGGCCCTGCATGGGCTGATTTTTCCCCAGCCCCCACACCCTGCTCGGGTCGGCTCTGGCCCTGGGCTCTCCATGGTGTCCATTGACAATGCAGGGAAAGCACAAGGAATGTTTCTGTGCGTATCAACCAGAGGGATATAGCAGAACCTGAAGGAGAGGATCTGTGTTGAATATAGGCGTTATGCAAATTAAATAATAAATATTAATTTAGTATGCTAATCGGGTCACTGATCAACTTGCATGCAGTCCAGATTTCTGGACCATCAGCACATCCCACCTCAACAGCAAGGGGCAAGGTCCTCCCCTGGCAAAACTGCTGCTGCATCCTAAACTCCGTAACTCACCAGGCATATAAAGAAATGGCTGTGGATATGGCATTTCCTTTGTGTGGCCCATAGACTCTTCCCGTCCCTCATTTGGCCTCTCTGTGATAACAGTTGTCCTCTTGCTCCAGGCTGCACTTTCCCCCAGCACACTAGCTGCAGTCCCCCCACCCCAGATTCAGAGATCTCATCATGACTTGCCTCCTGGCACTGGCCTACCTAGTGATTTTATAAGTCTAGGAGGTAGTTCTGGTCTAGGCAAAACCCTGAGGTACCAGACTGTGTGTCAGGAGACATGGCTGTACCACCCACCTTTTGTCTTTGGGCAGGGTACTTCCTCTCTTTCTTCCCTGTTCTCTTGCCTATTTAGCTTTAAGCATATGGAGGCACAAATTATTTCTCCACATGTATTTGCTGTGTGCCTGGTACAGTGGTGTCCTGATTAGGGACTGGGGGTCCAGGAATATTATAATAAAAAGAAATGAAAAAGATGAGACTTTCCAGGTATGGGGGACCATTGTCTATACACTGTTCTGCTCCAATATAGAAGCAGAGTTTTGCTGTGTAATGTCCACTGTCTCTGTTTCAGTCTTTATTGGAACTTTGGACTAAACAGGACTGCAGGCACAATCTTGTTTAAACCCGTTCATAAATTTAACTTAAGTTTCATATTAAAACCACTTATGTTTCTTGCCACCGCTTCTGATGGGAAGGCTGTTCCAGAACTTCACTCCTCTGGTAGCTAGAAACCAAGTCGCTATTTTCTGGAGGCTGTTCTGCTCCAATAAGTTGCAAATAATGTAAATGATGTAGATAAATATATTTGTTTCTGTAAATAGTCCCTTGTGTAATTAAAATTGCCAGATGTTTCTATTTTATTATAAAAATGAACATTTTGGAATATTTTAACTTAAGCTGCAATACAGTGTGTGTAATTTTCAATAGAATTATAAAATGTGATTTTGGTTTGTTGTGGCATTTTGTTAGATCAGTATGTTTGCCTCCTAAGGCTCTGATCCAACACTCATTGTAATCAACAGAGATTCCCATTGATTTACTGAGCAAAGAATATGCCTCTACACCCCAGTGTCAGTATTTCATCATTTAGTACACTAAAATCTTCATTCTGATAGTTTCAGTCATTTAAATTTTATTCAACAAAAGTCCTTTGCAACTTCCTAGGATGAGTAAGGACAGAAAGGTTAGGCGCATTGGGCATTTATAGATATACTCTGAGAGGTTGTGGGGGGTGGGCTCTTTAATTAGCATAGCTCTGACGGCCATGCTAATTAAAAACACCCAGAGCATCATGTGTATCAGCATCCCCATGATGAAAACTGGCAGCAGGATGCTATGAACTAATGCTCATCCAATGAGCTTTGAAGTGCCCCGTCGCCATTTTTCAGCACAGGGACACTGATACACATGACGCTGGAGTCTGCTGGAGCATAGTAATGACCACACCCTAGCAGACTTGATTAATCAAGTCTACTCTGATGGAGCAGCCTCCCTGCACGTGTATAGAAGCCCACTGGGCTTAGATCCATGATCTTTAACCGGTGCCTAAGTAAATTGTATCACAACTACCCATTTTTATATCTACGTGTTGGCATATCAGGCTCTTAAAGGCAAAAGATCAGCTCTTTTACTTTACTGTTCAGTATGCTCCCAGGAATAGAGAGATTTATGTGAAGCAATTACAATTACCTTGACTGAGATCAGAATTACAGAGGCTTGTGTTTCAGTGCCAAAGCTGATCACCATCATGGGCAAGGAAAGAGTCTGATTTTGTAGAATAGTGCCAAAAGATTAGTTTGATTTTGAGGGCCGTTTTGTCCATAATACAACATAAATGCAGTCAGTTTGGGGCAGATTTGCCAAGATGCTTGGTTGCCTATAGATGTACAGATGCTTATTGTGATTTTCAAAGTCACTTAAGCAGATAAGATGTCCAACTCAATAAGGGTGAGGCACCCACCTACCTTTTGAAAATCCCCATAGGCTTCTATCTGCACCTTTGTAATACAGCCTACATATATCTGGAACAGGAGTGAATTTGACCCATCAATATTGTGTACCTTCCTCTGAAGCTTCTAGCCTGGGTCACTCTCAAAGACAGAATAATACCTTTCCAGATCTTTGTGCATGGATCAAAGATGCCTATACCAATAGCCTGTTGGGCCCTAAAGTAGCTGTATTTGGGTGCTGGCTAAAGTAATTCATGACACATGGGGCATGTCTACATCTGCAATTAATGCACAGAAAGCTTACTGCGCAATAAAATACTTACTCTAAATTTACAGGTAGTAGAAAACCATGCATTAACCTATTTTAATACACAGTAGCTGCTGCACTCTGTTACATAGTGATGCTTTACTGCACAGTAAATTAGTTTACCACACAGTAAAGTGTCTCGCGTAGACACACCTACGCATTACAAAAACCATCTTTTTGGAGATTGCAGAGACTTTGTATCACAGATTGATGATGAAGGGGCAGGTGAATGAGTTCCAGTTTAAAGTTATTTTCTAAATGCTGCTGGAACTGTGCTGTATTAATTATTTAGAAGGTAAATTCTGAAGCAGGGATTTTCTTTTTCTCTGTGATTGTACTGCATGTGTCCAGTAGAGTTCTGGTCCATGACGACCAGCACAATACAGTAAGGTGCTTTCCACCTTATCGGTGCATCTTTTTTTCTCATTCAAATATTAATTAGATCAGCATTTCTCAACCCATGGGTCACAAGAATATATAAAAGGGTCCTGAACAAACTTAAAAAATGGATCAACAAATGTTAAAAATGGATTGTCCTTTGAAGGAGAAAAATGTGGGAAACCATGGCTTTTCCCTTGCAGGCTGGCAGAGTTCCAGCCTGCAAGGGGCTCTTTGGGGCTCTCCATACCCCACACACGCTCTAACCACCCCATACACACCTTTCCCTACCCCACACACCAGGGGCTGAGGCCTGGGGGTGGGGGTCAGTGGATCCGGAGTGAGGGACACTGGGTTGGGACTGGCCATCAATGTTTACAAATGGATCCTGGTACAAAAAAGGTTGAGAACCACTGAACTAATTAAGACTGTAAAATATGTAAAATAACATTCAGTATATAAATATATATTTCCAATAGTTGTTTTAGTTTAAACATCTGTATTAGTTTGTAAAATGGAAACAGAGAAAGCAGTAGAGAAAGAGCTCAGTTCTCTAGAGGGAGCTCATTTCTCTCTCTCTTTTTTTTTAATGTTGTGTCTCAAGCCAAGTTGGCCAAATCGGTTCCAAATTCTATTGACTGAGCAGAGCACAATCATTCAAGATTGTGTGGTAGTACCACTGGCAAGTATCCTACCTCCCAGATTCTTCTCTCTGGGGCATCAGATACTTCCAAATCCATGGCAGACATCCTGTGTGTCATCTTTTCCCTCTAGTTTGCTCCTTCAGGCTTTTGCCTAGGGGCAACCAAGACTAGGGGTCATCTGAACACCAGCACCTCTAGGCTTGGGGCTCAGTTCTCTCTTGGAGCTGTCCCTACCCCTGAGTTGTTAAAGAGAACTCTTCAGCACGAGAATCTGAGGTTGGAACAGTAGAAAATGTTTCTTATAACTGGTAGGGAGTTTCTGAAGTCTTCAAGCCTTCCTACCAGTTAGGGCAGAAGCAGCAACCCCTTAAAAGGACAGAAAGGATTTCCCAGCTGTTCACTTCCTCTGCTAAGCAAGGTCTGTTTCCTAGCTGGCTCCCTCAGCCTTGTAAGAAGATCTCAGGGAATTTCAAGGTCTCAGATTCTGGATTCCCTTCTCCTTTGAGGGCAACGGCATGGTCCAATCTACTTCATTTCCCTTCTAGGTTCCCCCAGTAGGGAACAATGTTTGAACTCGGGAAAGATAAGAAGGTCACGGAAGTGAAAAGGAGGTTGGACATCCCAGCACACAAAGTAACACTTACTGGTATATCCTGCTGAAAGAGTTACTTCTTTACCTTGAAGGTATTCTGTAAGGTACATCTGTACCCTAAGCGAATCAAAGATGCACAAGCTCTGATGAACAAGAACTCAGCAAGTGCTCTTTTGCTTATGAAAGGTTATACATCTCAGATTCAGTTAGCCTATAAGGTACACCTCTACCCTTCCTTCTACCGGACTTCAGACTAACATGGCTACCTACCACTTTTCTTTACCTTGAGTCATGGAAGGCTGTGATTTAGCACCAAAGATCTCAGACTCAAACTGATGACCAAGGACCTGGATTTTCCATTTCCAATGGAAAAACACAGATTTTCCCCTTTAAA